AAACAATATATATATATATATATGTATATATAAGAATGACAAATCTTATGAATGAAAAGTCTCAATTTAAATATAATTGTAAATTATTAAACAAATATTACAAATTTAAATGAAGAAAAAAAAAATCCTCTCTTACATTTTCACTAATGTAATTTTAATTATATTTGAAATTTGAATAAAAGAAATATTCCCTCTTATATATTTGTTTTAAGAACTTCAATATAGTTTTTTTACCCATCGCTCGTGTAATTGGGGGTGTTGTACTAGTATACTTGAATTTCGAATGTCATTATTTTCGAATCTAAACATATGTGATGAGAAAATAATAAACTGACAGACTTCTTTCAAGCCATTCGTGAGTTCGATTCGACTCGACTCGACTCATTTAAAGCTCATTATAAGGCGAGCCCACCTTTGAATTTTGAAAAGAAAACCCCACTTGAAATAGTAGCTCGTGAAATGACTTGAACCTATGCTCGTGCTTGAATGATTGCAATAATGCAAGACGTCAAACATACAAAAAATTATAATCTATATATATATAAAGAGGTTGTTGGAAAAATACATTAATAGAAAGTTTGACCAAATAAATATAATGCTTGACTTACTATTAATGGAAAGTTCGAAAAAACAGATATGAATCTATAGTAACAAAATCTGAATCCGATTTTTTTGGCAACAAATTTGGAGATTCTTATGGAATAATTTGAATTCCATTTTTTTCGTATCATATTTTATTTTTTTACCCAAATTTAAATCATATCTTTTTTTGTAAGGATTTGGAGATTCTTATGCAAAAAATGTGTCAATTATTTATGAAAATAATTCTAAATACAAATTAATTTAAAAACCTTACAAATTTGGTACAAATTTAAGAAATAAATAGTTGTATAATTCTTAACAATTCTTCCAATATTACTGAATATTTTTTTCTTTCAAAAAAAGTGTGTAAATTGAATAAAACCACGTGCAATTTTTATTTTAAAATAAAATTGATATTTGGACGGGATGCACAATCAAAATTGTGTCCACGTTTTTTGGTAACAAAAGCGGTTTATCTTTGATATTTATAGTCACCTTATCCAATTATTTAGGAAAAATTGTGTGCGACTTTTCAAAATTTGAAGGCATCGATTTTGTTGAATTCTTATATTTTTTCTTCACCATGTTTTACCGAGATTTTGGTAAGTTCATATCCTTTTTTTTCTTGGTTAAGTTCATATCATTTTCTTTAAGAAAGAGACAGTTGTATAAGCATTAACAAATTATTTCAATTTTTTATTAGAATTAGTTTCAATTCAATTTGTTTGGTAAAAAAATTGGTGCAATGTTAGGAAATTTCGGTTGCAATTTTAGGAAAAATTGATGATTTTTTTTATTTGGTTTAAAAAAATATTTGGATCAATTAGTTTCATAAAAAAAATCAGTTTATTGATAGAAAAGTTGATTTCATTTTCAGGGTAACTAATAATGTTTTCAAATTTTCTTAATTGAAATTTAGAATTAGATTTAAAATAAATAATGGGTAAAAATCTCTAAAAAAAATTACTTTTTTTTCTACTTCAATTTTGTTCAATAAATAAGTTCCTTTAAATTTTTTAAAATTTGTTAACTAATAACTAATAATATGCAATTTTGGATAAATTTGAATTTACGTACCAAAGAATCAAATCAATAATGTTGTACATAAGGAAGTGTTTAATAACATATAAATTTTATTTTCATTAAATTTTTAATGGCATGAGACAATTTAAATACAAAAATATATTTAAAAAATATATATATAAGAAATGCCCCCGTGCATCGCACGGGCACCATACTAGTTTGACTAAATAGATGGCTCGATTCAAAGTAAGCAATTGTATAAAACGTGGTGGAAGGTAAAGGTTCTTCTCATTATCTTTTATAAAACTAAGCGCAATATTTTTATTACAATCATAAGTTCAATTTGAAAATGCTTATTAAACCAATTTCAATTCCAATAAAATCTGAACACACACGCCTAAAACTTTTATGAAAACATCGAACATTTACTAGTATGCTAGCAACATGGAAAAAGGTCCAAAATTCAGCAATATTATTGTTGTCAAATGGACAGAAAACAACGCGAATAGTATTTGTATTTTGAACATATTTTGATACAAAATAGCTACCGACAGAATTTTCACTTAACCGAAAATTCGGTTTGTCCAGTATAAAATCCGAAAACCGAAAATCGAAATAAAATTTACGGTTCGGTTCGATTTCAAACCGAAAATTTTACGATTTGATCGGTTCGGTTATTGGTTATCCAATAAAATAAAAAAATGACAAATATAAAATCTACAATTTGTGAGTAACAATTTATAAAAATAACAATAATTACTACTTAATAATTTTACGAAAACAAACTAAAATGCATAAGAAAAAAAAAAAAACTTGTCCCGAAAGGCTTACGAGCCGCGTACTACGGAAATTTTCTGTGAATTGTGAGTTTAGAAATTTCTGCCTCAATTGAGTAGATGAGAGATGTGTTGGGTCATCCATTTCCATTAAAAGGATAGGGAGTGTCATTAATTCTTATTAAATAATATCCTATTATATATTTATATTGGGCTTTTATAGCTTTTATTATAATATCGGTTTTCAGTTCGGTTCGGTTAACCTAGCAATTATATCCAAACCGAACTGAAAACTGAAATTTTGAAAAACTGTAAATCGAAAATCGAATCAAATATTCGGTTTCAATTTTGGTCCAAACCGAATTTTCGGTTTCGGTCGGTTAACCATATTTTGTGCACCTCTAGGAACAACAGCCTGTAGTCTTTTCTTTCCCACGGGTGGGGGTTTTGAGCTCACCACTTTATGTGATGCCGATTGGGCTTCTTGCAAGGATTCTAGAAGGTCACCGACTGGATATTGCGTTTTATTAGGTGGTTGCCTTGTTTCTTGAAAAACAAAGAAACATCTTACGGTGTCCAAGTCCTCAGCCGAATATTGTGCTATGAGCTCTACTGTTTCTGAGTTGCTGTGAATCACATACACTTTAGAGGATCTTCATGTGAAGACTGTCACACCTATACCCCTCCGGTGTGAAAACAAAGCGGCGCTTCATATTTCTGCCAATCCCGTCTTCCATGAACGGACAAAGCATCTCGAGATCAGTTGCCATTTTGTTCGCAACAAGTACAAGTCTCGATTTGTTTTGCTTATGTATTTGGCTTCTCGGCTTCAACAAGCCGATATCTACACAAAGATCTTACCAAAGAAGCAGTCTCATCTCTTGTTGTCCAAGTTAGGCATGTCTTTTCCATGCCTACCTTGAGTGGGGGAGCTGTTGTAGTATGGTGGGTTATAGTTGAAGAAGATGAGCAGTTGTCACTGCATTTTATTCATGTTGCGTTTTTCTTTTATAAAGTCGTTTTCTTCTTTATTTTTAGTTAGATTAGACGAGTACGACTCCATTTCTTGTCAATCACTACCACCCAACTTAAAATCTCTTAAGGGGGTGATTGGATATGAATTCAACTAGTAAAAAATTGATTTTTTTTAACTATAGTTAAGTTTGAAAAAAGTTGGTATGGTTAATTGTTAGTGGATATATTAAAATAATATTTAAAATAAGATAAATAAAGTTAATTTGATGTAAAAGTATGAGAAAATGATTGGAAGTGATTATAGTTAAAATAATGTGAGTAGATAAATAGTGAATTAAAGTTGATGTAATGTGTTATAATGATTGTTTGTTATTATTTAATTATATTTATAATATTGGAGATAGTGGAGTTGAGTTAAGATTGAGTTAATTTGAGTTTTGATTGATTTTTTTACTGTACAATCTATATACAATCGCCCCCTAAGCAATAGTTCAATAAGCGTCGTGTGCGACATGTTTAAGTATAAATATGCTTAGCACGTTCATTTGCATGTAATTTTTACTGAGTTTTAATTGAAATAAAAATGGAGCTTTCTCCCCAAAAATATCTTCTCTAATTCAACAAAAATGAAGGAAACTGCAGACGACATTGATAGTATACAACAGTTTTGTACACAAACCCACCTAACATGGAGGCAAATGAGAGATAACAAGATAGGACATGGCACGAAATGCAAATACAAAACGAAAAATAGTTAGATTTCGGATTTATAATCGATCAAATAAAATAGACATTTTCTAAAACACAATAGTTAAACATAAACACGAAACAGTACCACGATTTATCACCCCTACACTAGCTAAAGCATTCCGATTCACTGTTAATCGTGTAAACTCTAGCATCATTTTCCTATTCAAACAATCAATAGCGTGACGCAACAATTATCTACATCCAACATGAGAAGATGGATATGCATAAAAATTATTAGCATTACAAAATAATAATTTGCATAAAAAAATAAATAAATAAATAAAAACAACTATTCAGAATTGTTTATTCTGGTTTGCAGCCTTGCTTTTGCTTGATCGACCCCATTTCCCCGAGTAGATTAGATAATTCAACCCCTCTTTACAAAAAAATGAGATAAAGTAAATAAAGCCAACACTTACTTTATCCCTCCATTTTGTTCTTTGCTTTGTCCTTGCTCCTCCTCCACTTTCCTTTCTCACCAAAAATCAATATCACAGCCCAATCTTTAACACACACAAATCTTCAAGATCCACTTTAACCCCCGTATATACCCAATCAACACGTAACTCTGACCAACCGATATAGTCTAGTTCAGTTCTTTCCTTTTTCTTTTAGCTCATATTATTACACTAATCACAAAATCTCATCTTCATTGAAGTCCTAAAATCATTAATTATTAAAAAAAGAAAAGGTAGGGAGAGAGTTAGGCATAGTGGGTCAAGTGTGTATAGAATCTTGGGAATCACTAATAGGATTATCATGAAAAAAAGTGAACTGTGGGTGTAAATATAAAAATTTCCCCCATGCAAAGTCATGCAATTCAGCATCACTGTCCAGTCATCACCCTTTTTCCTTTTTTCTCCTTTTTTTTACCATTGTTAGTGGTAAAGTGACTCAGCTAGCTGGGAAAAAAAGCGGAGAGGAATCTCTGTGCAGTTTACCAGCCGAGACTCGAATTCTACTCATCTTGTTTTCACACCACCGTAACTGTTCACGGCTCAAATCCACCATTCTAAGCACTCTCGACACCACTTTGAGGTCGATAAGTGCCATAACCACTTCAAGCTCTGCCTCCTCAGTCAGCTTCCTTCTTCCCCCAAAGCACTTTCCCGAATGACAAACCTCTTTCACCTTAGCCTTTCTCTGCATTTTTCCAAAAACATTTATTATTATTATTATTATTGTCATCTTTTGAAAAAATTATTTTATTTTAATTTTTTTATGTTTTTTTTTTTTTTTT